GATGCGTCCGCAAAATGTTGAAATTCTGCGGGATCTTTGCTTTCGAATGTCTGGTTGCTTTAATGTAACAAGTAAATTATTTATAGCCTTCTTGCAAATCAATGTAGACTAGGTATCAACAGAAGTAACAGTATATAGTGTCGCGTCTTGCGTAAATGTTTTTGCTTTTCTGGCCATGTCTGGAGAACACTTTTGCAGAAAAGCTTACTCTTGGGAATGATTTCCTGCCAACTTTTTCTATTGTTTGGTAACCACGATACCACACAAAAAATTAATGGCAACATGGACAGGTATACCTAGGTACGAAATACGAGGATGTCTTATCGCAAGCTATAAACATGATGGAAAAACAAGTAAAAGTTATAATCGATATAATTGAACATTCTTGTTTTGCATCAATTTTCTTTTTTTCTTGTGGCAATCGCTCCTTCAGGCCGTTTGTTTGTCATCATTGCCTTTTATACTTTGTGACTCGCAACCAAATTCTTACTCCATTTCCGCACTTGTTTCAATACGAATGTTAGAAGTATAATTCATTTTTTTGAGTAATTGTTTTCATCGTCATCTGAATTATTTTTTTATTGTGAATATGTAAGTTTGCCCGACGGGTTGATCTAAATGGCTTTTGTTTTTTTATCTGCCAGTTGAGATGTACATATATAACACTGGTACTGATGATGTTAGGTTCTGTCTGGGAGTGTTTTATTTCCGAATCCAAACACAACAACGCAAATATAAATCCTATGGAAAGCGATTTTAGCTTATCTCTGTAAACAGCTTATTAATCTTTTAATTGTAGTGTTCCGGGGTAGACCAGAGTACACTTTAATTTTTCTCGAACTTCAGGCCGTTTGTGAAATTGAACCTTCGTCTAAGTTTTAATGAAAATTCTTGACATGGTCGTTATAATACGGCTATGCACTTTAGACATTTTTGTGGGGCGACGACAAAATCTAGGTTCAGTTTAAACAAGGGATATGGAATTACTACGTTTGGTTGGCCAGGTAAGTTTTAGTGTGCAAGCGAAGACGACAATCCTGATTTGCAATGTTCTATCATGTGTAATGAAAAGTATTAGTTTCGCCAGACTTATCGGGATTAATGAATCATTTCAACTATGTATTCACCTTTTCAAGAGTGTACGAGCCTTTCCATTACTTGATCACAATTTGCCTCACGTACTACACATTACTTTCTTTACCCTTTCTTTCAACAACATTGTACAATTGACCAAGTTACATTCAGGTTACAAATTTATTTTTTGATCACAATGACCGCCATTCTCCCACGGTCTTTTCACAAAAGTTCGGAATTCCATCTGCGTAATCGAGCTTAATAAATGATCCCTTTATACATGCACTCTAGCCTTGAGTATTCAAGTGTAACAATTATGAGCAGCCACTGAGTGCGCGCATGGGGGTCTCTCCTTTTGTCACATTATTTCTTTACCTTGTATACAGCCATGAGTCCGGCCAGGGAAAAAAGTTGGATGATACGTTTGGAAAGTGCGATTCTCAGACGGTGTGGATTTGAAACCTCAAAGTTGGGAAATTGGGGGTTGCGTACGATAGGACGGCAGCAGGTGATGTCTGAGCCCGCAAATGGATACGATCGGGTGAGATGGGTTGTTACAAGTTCTTGTTTAAGTCTTTAACATTTCTTGTTCATAATAGCAACGCTCTAGCTTGATTATAAATTTAATTTTTATATTTTCATTAAAAATTTCCCTGTGTCACATTTTGGTATCAACGGTCTGTTTTGGGCGTTTTGATCCCTTAATGTTAAAGAATCCTACGATTTTAACCTGTGGGGTCTACGGTACGCTTCCACTTAACAGTTTGAAACCATTGCACTTTCGCCTTAAATTGCTTACCTCAATTTTCAAGGAGACTAATCCACTAATCGTTAATGGAATTCTCAACAGAATGCCAAGCTTCTAAACGCTCTCTTTTTTAAAGGATCCTTTTCGATGCCTAAGGTTTGCACTTTAGGAGATCTCGAAACCAGGTGTATATTGTTTTTAGTTCTTCCATAATCCGGGCCAAGCGAACTTCGGGAATTCCTAAGCGCGGGTCTCGTTTATTTATGAGGTCCCAACGTAGGTGTGCTGGACAAGGAGTTTATGTCATTTTTGTTGTTTTCCTCGGTGGGATGGCAATGTTTATTCAATGATTTATATGACGAAATTATGCGGGCTACTGTAAGTGGGGGTTGCAAAAAGAAAGGGATAAAAGAGTAACGAGGCAGTTTATGCGCATAGAAAAAAAGGACATTTCAACTTTTGTGTTGAATAATATTGCTCAACAGGATGTTTATAACCTTTTGTCCGGCTTTTAAAATTATTCAATTGCTGTTTTCTCATTTCCCAGAACCCAGTTTTGCCAGACACTTGGACTTGAAGGCATGCTGAAACAAGTCGAAGCAAAGAACGCAATTCTGTTCCCCGTATGGCCTAATAAACATAATAACAATCTACAATTGAGGATTGCTTTATAGTCTTGTGCTCGATTCTGTTTGAGGTTGTTTATTGGGTAAAATCTAATATTCCTATTGACCGCGGTAATGTTAGAGTGTAACAAGCACACAGCAAGATTCAGTATAGGTTCAGCGTGCGGTCTTGAGTAAGCTTGGAAGTTCCTCTGACAATTCTGTTGAAAGACGTCCAATGCCAAAAAATTAATTTGTTAAAATTTCTTAACGGGTACAGCGGGGATATTTTGCTCATTTTGGGAGAAATACTCTGAATAATTGGGAGAGACCGTTAGAGGAAAAATTGATCCAAGCTGGCCTTTTTTTCCAGTAATTATAAATTTCCTAATGATATTTCTGGTCCTTTAAGGTATAGAATACGGTAGTTGTCTCAATTCACTTTGTATTTTTGGCAATGTTATTTAAACCTCTTTTCTTCCAAATCACCTCTGAAAAATACCAATTTGTCGCCGTCAACGTCACCGGATCAACGGCTCAATTGAATAGCGCCCAAAAACAGCCCGTTTGATCCGTTTTGTTTTGCTCTCAAGTTCAATGATCTCTAATCTGCGACATGCGGTGGTATGATGTATGTTTACAAACCTCATATACATTCATCTCTCCGCACAATGTCAAGCGGATCTGCTTATTTAATTTAGGATTTAACATTGAAATATTACTCTATTACATCGAATTTAATTACAACGTCAGAAAGCAAAGGAATTTGTAGGGTTAGAGTAACGATGAAATTGCACAGAACTTGGGATTTCTGTTGCGATGACTTAGTTCGCTGAGCATTCGAATGTTGTCTGACTGGTGGTTATTTCAAAATTCAATGTCAAGATTAAGAGTAGTAAAATTTAATTTGAACTTGCGCTCAGTTGCATTAAAACCTGAGCAAGAGCATTCTCGAGATAACTTTGGCAAGCGGCTATTATTTTAATTTTAGAGTTTTAGCCCTCCTCCTCTAAGCCTCTTCCAGTAAAGGTTGCACTATGTATTAAAATCCCCAAGGAATGGTTACTGATCCACTACGGTCCACTCAACAAAAGGTTCTACTAAATGTTAACGTCATTCCGAGCACAAACAAACACATTTTTTGTTTACGGACTTTATTGCTTCAAGTTTCAAACTTTTTAAAATCTGCTTTGTTTTCCTCACAGACTCCCCCAAAAAAACACAAATTAACTTCCGCCAAGAATCGACAGAGCAAACAGATGATTTCCGAAGGCAATTGTTTATCCAAGTTCTGATTCAGCGCCTTTGATGACTAAAATCATCTTTTTACGCATCGTTCTTTCTCGATTTATATTAACCATGACTTTCCCAAGAATCTGTGAACTTTGTCGATTTGATCGTTTTCTCTCCTTCGCTACGTGTTCGCTAAAAATATCCGCCTAGAACCTATTTATTACAAACCCGCCAACGAATCGGGAAATAATTTGAAAAAAGGGCGGAGTCTGGAGGGGGTGGGGAAAGGCGGAAATAGGGGTGTTTTTATAAAGACCGCTTCAGCCGCGGAGAAGGCTCTTTTTTTCGGCGTTTGAACAGTTGGATTACTTATATTCTGGTCTTATGGTACTTGCAGATAAAGTATAACGTTTGTCCAGGGTTTTTGATGGTCTAAGGGATCGATTATATTCTACTTGATCAGCCGATGACCTTATATTTTCCGTGCTTTAAAGTAAAATTTTTTGATCTCCGAATTGCCGTTTGACAAACCTGAAGAATCAACTTTGATCTTAGACCCATTTAGAGGGCATTTTCCTAACTAGACACATGAATTTACTGTTACATTTTAACCATTTTAATTCACCCGCGTTCAAGTTCCAAATGGAGTTTGATTGTCAAAGTTTTAACTCCCCATACGCAATAACCCAATTCATTTTTTCAATTTTCCTTATTTCTCCACTTCTGAAAGTGGCTCCTCAAATTTGTCCTTGCCATTTCGATCTTTTCCCCGCTTTCCGTGTAGATTAGATCTCCGACATTTTCCAAGGAGGCGTATCTTCTACACTACTCGAGTTTCTGTTACACCTCAAAACTTTTGCACGTCGTATTTTGGGACGGCTCATATTTTTGTTTGAGGATTACTGAGAGGTGCGGTTGGAATATTTGTGAACAGAGTAGAAACCAGGAATCTGTCGGTTCTGCTAGGGTTCGTTTGCAAGACGGTTTGGAACAGTTTTGTAATCCCAAAAGGGTGGAGGTTTTTGTTTATTTTTTTGGTTATAAAGTTGAATTCTCCCCTGCGGATGACAATTTTATTTATAATAAAAAAAATGTGTATTTTATTTATAATATCTCTTTGGTGTGAATTTTTAAGACCCACCGATTTTATCAATTTTTTTTTGAGTTTTCCCCATTTTTGATACAGTTTTTTTAAACAAATTGCTCCTATGTAATTTTAAAAAAACTATCGCGGAACCTTTAAATTGTCATCGAGAACCCTAAAATTTTATTTTTCAGTTTTTATTTTCCACCTCGAAACAAAATTTCCTACAAAAATTACGCTCCAACAAGAATCGAAGATGAATTGTTTGGTCTGCGATCAAAAGGGCGCTGCTCGGCATTACGGTAGTATATCTTGCAGGTAAGTAAAACGCGTACGACTGAGGTATCTCTAAGTTCATCTGATTGAGCGAGGGCAGACTGGCTGACCTAGAAACCACTTTTTCGAACTTATTCTGTGATGATTATCGCACGTCGTAATCATCGGTTCTTTCTAACAAAAAATCAAGATCAAAACGCGATTTTTTTGAACTCTGCATGAAAATGCAAGTCTATTCGGTCCGTTGCTCAGGTTTTAAAGAAATTGGAAGCAAGATCAACCACTAAATTGAACGTTTTCAGCGGTTGCAAAGGATTTTTCCGCCGGTCCGTCCGCTACAACCGCAAATATGTGTGTACCTTCGAAAACAACTGCAAGATCAGCAACGGTAAGAAATCAGAGATAAAGCAAGTCAACCCCGTTGATTGCACGTCAAATCACATATGCTCACGACTCTGTGATCACTTCCTCTGATCTTTTGGGTTTTCGGATATTTTTTGGGAACTTGGCGAACTTTCTTTTCGTTTCTTGGATCCGAAATGGATTTTTTAGAGGCTTTCAACGAAACTTTAAAGGACAATAAGCGCTCGAAAATAATAAGAAAGTGTGGGATTACTGTAAATTTTTTAAGTTGAAAAAATTTCTGATGCTTTAAAATTTTTTAGCCAGAGATGGATAAAAAGCAAAGATTACCGTTTTCTCCCCAATTTATTACCGTAATCCGGTCTCTGTTACTTTTTATTTCCTCGTCTCACCCTCCTCATTACTAACAATTGATCTTTTCAGAATACCGTAACTGTTGTCGCGCCTGCCGCTTCCGCAAATGTATCGAAATTGGACTCGACCCCAAGAGTAAGTTCATTTGAAACGTCCCTTACAAATACTCGAATTAAGATCTTTGACGTCCGTCTGTTTACTCGCAAGTATTCAAATTCCAATGGGGAAAATGTCTCAAATGTTTGAATGGGCCAATTATTAGCTGTTTGAGCATTTGAGCCTGGGATTAAAAAAAAAACGAATCTTTGAAGATAAATTTTTTGCCTTTCGGAGATGAAATTGATCTCGTTGGTCGGAAAAACAGCTTGGGATCCAACACTTTTTGAAGGGATGAGACGACAAATTTGGAAAATCAAAAAATTTTGTTTTTTAAAATTTTGGCCATAAAAATGTTTGATTTGAAAAATTAAACTTTGACGTCATATTGGGTGCACTTCTTTTTATCAGGTCGCTAAAAACGCTTCGATCATTTTGTAAAAAAAATTGGAATGCAAAGAAATGAGGCTGAGATGAGAAAACCAGCGCAAAAAGTAAAGTTAGCATTTCAAAGTTCCAATTTCCGTCTTATTGCTTCTCAATCTCAACAAATTTTATTTTTGTCTTTTCCTGTTTTCAATCAAAAGTTGAGCGTTTGTACCCTCTAGACTACATTCCACGTGTCACTCTTTTCTCCCCCTCAAACGGCTAATTGTTTTTACACCTTTAATTTATATCTCCACGATTCCTTCAACACAGTTTTTGTCGTCTTACTCCATGTATTTTTTGTAGTTTCACTTTCAAATTGACTCATTGAACATTCGGCTCCATGCGTATTTGTAACACAAGGTTTTGTTTTGTTGGGCTTTATCTCGCCCCACAAAGTACCCGGTTGCACTGCGAAGAGCTGTGAAATTTGCGGAAAAACGATGGGAAAAACTGATCCCGTTACGTAATGATCTCTTGGGTTGTGGTTGGGAGAATGCGAATACAATTTTCAATGCGAGAATTACGGGGAATATAAAATTGAATGGAATCGAAAGGGTATTTGCGATCCAGAGATCATTCAAATTGAAGAAAACAGGTTATTTTTGGGAAAAACATTCGAAAAATATCAAATATCAAAAATTCCCAAGTCTGATTTTTATCATAACACCACTGTTACTCTCCAGTAACCCCACAGTGCCATCAATTTCAATTTTCAAACGTCTACCCCACCAAAAATTTCGATTAAATTCACCATGACTAATTTGTAGCTCAAATGTTCAAAAGTTGATCCAAAAAGCTGAAAACTTCGTATCATGGTTAATAATCTTAACGAAGATGACTTATTTAATTATTTCACAATAGAAACGGCTATTTTTCAAAGATTTCATCAGAATTCCAGTTAGTATTTAACATGAATCATTTGAAATGAGGTCATGAGAAAATTTGAAAAGAAAAATTTAAAACACGATTCTAACGAAAACGACAAAAAATGTGATCATTCTTAGTTGCATTCTTAATACCCAAAAATCGCAAAAAGAATGACATCTTGACATCTAAATACGCCTACATTTTCAGTGGTCCACAGCGACCGTTCCTGCGACACGGTTCTTCGACGGAGGGCTCCAGAAGATCGAGAGAACCGTCATGAAGACGATGGAAATGATACCTCCACTTCGGTGAGCCCTCCAATTTTGGAGAAGAGTCCAGTTGAACAACTTGCCCTTGTCTATGGAGATGAACAACAATTGAATCTGTGGCATACCACGAATATCATTAGGCTGCATCAGCTTTTCCAGGTAATGCTTATGACCGCATTTTTTGAGTCGTCTTCTTTAGTCAATTGTGTTTTTTGGGACCTTTCCCTAGATATTATACATACCGTAAGGGTATAACCACAGAGGTTAGCTCATGGATAACATGAGGTTTTAGAAAGTACTTTTACACCAAAAATATTGATCAAATACGGGTTAGGGATCTTATTCTAGAGCGTTCCTTGATAGATCATTCCCCATTGATCTATTTATAAAAAACATCTCTCTCCTGATGTACCTTACTTTTCCATCGTAGCTACCGAAATCTAATTGTGTTTCTCGCTTTTCTACGCAATTTCTTTGACCCTTAGCTGTGCTATGGTTCTGCAATTATGCTATTATCGTACACACACCTATTCCTGCACGTGTACAATGTCTTACGCAACAATTGTTAGAGTGATCTTCAAAAACGGCGATAAATTCTCCGCCGCTGAAACGATAAACGCGCGCTGACGTCACAAGAGTAAGAATCAGCCTTAAAAGAGGGTGTACTACAAAAAAAGTCGTGTCAAACCCCATCGACCATTTGGACTTTGAGAGAGAAAAAGGCGAAGAGATCGGAACGGAACATTCCCACGGAAATAGAAACGTTTCGACCTTAAGAAAGAGGAGAAAACAGACAAAATTTAAGGTCAACCCGGTCCAAAAAAGGAATTAGACTCTAAGATTACTACATATAGTTAGGTTATGCGATCAATGGTCATAAATTTTGGCAAATATTTTGGAAGTATAACAGAGATTTATAAATTTTTGATCTGATGACGTCGGTAACTCAAAAACTCGTGAAAATCTTTCAAAACAGCGCTTATTTCGCTACAGTATGCGTTATTCTTGATCGCTGCAAAGTGATGATACTTTTGAGGCTTAAACCGTTTAAACCCGCGATAATCCAGATTTCCCCTATGAGTTGCTTGTACTGTAAGATAACTATAAAATTGCCAATATAACAGATACGCAATAAAATCAAACCATAACAACATTTCAGCTCTTCTTTGAGCATTTTCCGAGCCCTTCGCAGATTTAGCTAAAACCTTTCGGTCATTTGGGTATTAAGATGCTTTCCTTATCAGTTGCCCTTGGTTTTCGATGCATTACGTCCAATATATTATAATATTCTTTATCGGCAAAAACACATAAAAAATAGCGATTGTTGATTCTGAGCACCAAGTTGAGTCAGAGCCATTGTCATATCGGGATTAAACACATCTTGACACTTAAAATACTGTTTTCAAGTCATCTCACTGCCCAATTGACGTCATTTTATTTTTTATGGCGTAATTCGGTACTGTAACTTTGGTAAAATTTTTGAGACAATAAACTTAGGGATTTATTTACGAGCCACATGAGGCTGGCTATTCGTTGTTGAACTTGACGTCATTTGGATACGTTTTGATTACCGTATAACCAGGCTCTCCGTTTTGATCAACAGCGATCAAAACTACAAAAGCAAAGCCTGGAGCCCATGTAGTTTGTTCGCTCAATCGGTGCTTTTCCCAATTCCGTAGGTGGTAAACTGTAATCATATGGGGACTTTACTACTTTGATTTTTGTTTGATCAAGGCTTGCCCTAAATTGGTGGAAACGTGGGTTACAAGCCGTTTGGTCTTTTATGATCTTGTTGTAATGCAGCTTTAAATACCTTGGTATAGTCATATGGGGTTTATTATTGTTTTTTCCGTTGTCAATATGATGCCCCTAATTGTCCCTAATATTACGTTTTATTGCCCCCAAATGATTTCTAAAGTTTTTGGGGACAGTCCCCAACTGATTTGTGAAGCTTTACACTCATCTTCCCCTTCCACCCCCTTCCCTTGAAGACTGTCATTTTTGCATGGAGTGCTGTTCCATAAGCAGTCACAGCCCTGAACTTTTCTAGACTCGCCACGTCATCGAACCGAAAAAGGTCCCTCGGGGCTGAATCGGGCGAGAAAACAAGTCTGAAAGTCCGACTGTCCAGAAAATCAGTTGCGAAACGCGGGGATATATCTGCTTATACCTTATGTTGAAGCTCACATCCAAAAATCCCAAAAATTCATTCGGTTACTTACAATAAAAAAGTTTTTGAAAAGAGCGAAAAGAAGAGCGTTGAGATAGAGAGAGCAGCAAACCCGTAGAGATTGGAGTTTGAGCTCTTGATCAGGAGCAATCGGGGAAATGATTCTAAGTAGGGTTGTGACAGCTACTGTAGGCACAAATCCGCGTGACACGTTTAGCTTAAATTATGAATCACAGTTGTTACAGAGGGGCCTAAATGGATTCTAATACATAACCTATACATGTACAAATTGATTTCTTCCAAATGTTTTTTTGTTCCAATCACTTTCTTCTATGATAAATTTGCCTGTCATCGTCTTAATTAAAAAAAACTTATCTGAACCCCATTCCAGCTCCACCAAGATAACCAGCCGCTGGGCGCTCGCAACGTAATCGGACTCTTTGACCCCTCATCGGCGATAACAGTTCAGCGTTACTACGTACTCGTGGACCGGCTGGTCAACGACTACCACGAGCATGACGTGAACCATCTCATTGGCGTCTCGCCCTTCCACAACGTCGACCTAAACATCCCGTTGGAGTCGGCGTTGAATGCCGAGCCGCGTCGAGTTTGTCAACGATCCAAGGTAAATATTCATGGAGAGAATCTTGTAGTGCCCATGTTGCGCAGACAATATGGTCAAGGGTATATTCGGTGACTGTTTTGTAGGCTAAGAAAAGGCGTCTGAGTTGGTCTCGAAAACGTTTTTTATGTCAGTTGGGTTGCATTATATGTCATATTACATTACACTATACCGGAAATAACAGGCAATTTTACCAACGTAGAGCCTACATTGAATTTTGTGTGGTCATAATAATAATTATCTTACTAAAGAAGAGTTTCTTACTCATTTAAACGGACCTAAAATTACAGCTCGATTGGACTGCCTCATATCCCCTCCCCACCTCATGTTTCCCTCGGATCTGGAGTCGAATGTTCGTCGCCTACTCCGACTGGGCCTCACATATCCCCGAATTGAAGAAGCTTTCATTTGAAGACCGAACTCAACTTCTTGTGAGTCGAATGACCTCCGTCTGGTGGCATTGGATTGTGCATCAAACAGTCAAACATATCCCTACTGAACAACACGTCTTTCTGATGACCGGTGGCAGTTATTTGACGCTCGACCAAGAGAGCATGGAGAATTCGTTAGACAAGAGGTAAGCAGGTAAAAATTGACTATTTTAAGCGGAATTTTTCGCTCTAAAATTCTTAAAGTGCAAGACATGTTGTTGTACAGCGTTTAACAGTACAACATTTCATTCGTAATTTTTTGAACATCAAATTTTTTGGCGAAAAACATTTATAGGTTGAAAGCAACAGTTACAGTAACCCTAGAGGGCCTAAATTTTTTGTGCTGTCTAGGCCCTTAGGTAGTCTAACAGCTTTATCTTAGCCGCTGATACTGGTTACACTTACACTTATTCATTACTCATTTTTTAAGCAAAATTATCCACTGAGTCATCGAAAATGGATAAATTTACTACTGATAAAAATGGCTGTCATTATGATTAATTGATTGTAAATTAAGCCTAACTGACTCACCTATGTTTTAGTTTATGCGCCAATCTCCGAAAATCGTGCGAATGGCTGTTTGACGAAGTCGCGCGACCAGCGCAAGACCTGCAAATTACCGATGGAGAATTTTTACTGCTTCGACTAATTTTGTTGTTTACTCCATGTAAGTTTACTTGACTAAAAATAAAAGGAGACAGTTCAAAAATAGGTCCCTATTAGATCTATTTTTACCTTTTTACTTTTTCATCCACTATAGAGTCAAAAATCAATTACATTACTTCAGCCAAAGTTGATTACAAATTTCTGCAAAAATTTTATGCAAAATTTAATTTGCATCTCAAAGTTTAATTTTAATTCCCCAAGGGTCCTTGACTTGCTTAAGATGCCGTATGGGTAATTTCTTTCAATTTCAGCTCCATGTCTCTCTCCAGAAGGCAACGTATTGGTGCGGGAAGCCCAAAAGTTCTACCGATCCGCCCTGAGCGAGATTGTCCTTCAGTCGCTGAAGTCGGATCCGTTAGCTGCTTCGACCAGAATTTGCAGTCTCATGTCGCTTTGCACTCCGTTCGAAGTGAGTTTATGCCCTATCATACTAGGAGATAAGTCATCAGAAAAATGAATTTTTTCGGAAGTCTCGGAAATTGGCCGTTTGCCCGCTGGTCTTCAAAAAGCTCGTAGGTCTTAATCATACCATATTGGGGGTGATAACAAATCCAGAAGTCATCATTTTGCGTCATTGACGATTAAATTTACTTTAGAAGTCCATTATTTATATTAAACACCCGGTTTTGGGGTTTAAGTCATTGTTTCTTAAAAATTCCTGAGATTCTTGAATAGAAATCCTCTAAAATCCTCTTATCTTCTTTGAAGCCTAAGTATGAAGCGGATCACATTTCTTTAACACAATAAACATGTTGACATTTCCGATTTCTTTCAGCACATGGCCCAATTCGAGACCGAAAGCATGACTTTGCTGGTGCTTAACGGAATCCAAGGCTCGGCTGGTCGCCTTCCTGGAGAGTACTATGCACTGCGCACCAAGTCGTTGATCTAAAGCTTTATGCCATACTTGTCAAGGGAAAACAACCGGTGATCTTTGAAACGCTCTCTAACTGTGGTATCGGCACTGTACGAGAAAGTGCCGCCTATTTATTGTGATATCTTTTTGTGTGAATAAAAATGTTGGATGTAAAGTAAATAGAGTAGTCGCGGTCGGACAGATAGCTGAAAATATATTAGAAATGATTACCAACATGATCAAGGGACCCTATTACTTATGGACTGAAACGCTAACATGTTCGCCTAAATCAGCAAGGCGTTTTTCCCACATGCACTCCGCGAAACCGAAAGTTCATTTTGCACTGTGCAATTTTTGGCTTTTTGCACAGTGCAATAGGCTTTTTAGAGCTGTCGCTCGCACCCTGAGTTTTCGTGCACAGTGCACATCGCCGAAATCATTCCAGCGACTTTACGAACGGACTAGTAACAATTCAATTTTTGTTTTCAAAGGTGGGATTCAGTCGTGCCGATCTCCCGCATTTTGCGCGTTCAAAAGAAGACTGTTCAATGTAAACAATGCTAAGAATTTTGCAGATTTTTTTATGTGATCCAAATGCAAAATGTCATATCCCTATGCCCAAAAAGCGGTCAAACTGTCACTCCGGATTTTGCACCCCAGTTATTTTTTGTCACGTTTTAGTGTTGTAAATTTAATGGTTTCTGCAAAACCATTTTCTCTACGTGCCGATTACTTTCTCTTCAAATACCAAAAGACGTGGTCATCATCCTCTCCGCTCTCCATTAAAAGTTAACGGATAATAATAGATAACGAGTACAGGGGGCGAGAAGAAATCGGAGTTTTTTCAACACTCACAGCGTCATTTCAAAATCCGTGAAAAGAAATAAAATCTCATCTGAATAGACGCCCTTCTTGTTTCCGAAGGAGCAAGTAAAGCCGCCTTTCACTTGCCGTTTTCTTACAGTTACGAGTTTACTCAAGATGCTAAAATATTCCTCTATTTTATTTCTCCTTCTTTCCATGGTTTATGGCGAAACTTCTGGTCGATTTGGCAGATCAATTTCTAATGTCGTCATCGATAGAATAAACAACAAAGGAGACGGCTCGATTAAAGATGTGCCTGTAATTCTAAAGGCTCATCCGGACTGCGCTAAAGCCACGGATATCATCAGCCTTGATAAGAAGATCTCCGATCTCACCTGGTCGATTGCTGAAGCTCAAAGGTCATGGAATGTTACCATGGTGTCCAAATTTTTGGCGTACGAAAAGAGGATCAATTTACTACAGCTAAATTTGAATATGGATCCTCAACAAATGCTGGAAAAGGTTTGTCGTACATTGACAAGATGGACCAAAAACAAGTTTTACTTGAATTTGACCAACTCAATCAAGATCCACGCCAATCACAAAACGTCACAGGAATATATCTGGGGTACAATCAAAGAGTTTTGCAATTGTGTCTAAGTTAATGTGACAGCTTAATAAACGATTACACAAAGCTTTCTTGAACCTAAGAATTCATAAAAGCTCTTTACTTCTTCCAGAGAAAATCTGAATATAAGAAATTGGGACGTTCGCAGCGAAGTTGTCGTTGTATGTAGAAATGGCAATCATTGAATTTTCGTTTAGTTTATTAATTCAAAAAGGAAATGAAACAATAGATCGTATGTGGTCGGGCTGGCTCTGAAGTCAATCAAAAAATACACAGCGATAAAGTAGAAGGTCAATGGAGATGGATCTACCACTCGTATAAGGCGTCATCGTCGGAACGCTTCCCAAAACGGATATGTGGAGCTGAACGGAAGGCGGCTCTTTTTCCGAACCGAATCAAGGGCGAGTGATCCGGCCGCTTGCTCTCAATCACATCACTGCGTTTGCCAAAGCGGATCAAAGGGTCGGTAATGGGCGACTGTAGTTGAAATAGTTTTAATACTACGTTTTACTGTTTGACACAGGCCTTACGGAATTACAAGGTTTTAGTTTTCTGAAACTTACATTTCTCAGTGCTCTTTGCATACTCCTCTTCCCAAATCGAATCAGTGGGCCGGCATAGGCTCTTTTTGCCATCACCTCGTCGAGATCATCATAATCGAGAACAGAGTCTGTTTCGGCAAAGGCACAAGACAATAGAACGGCCAGGAAGGATACGATGGCCAGAACGGAGGACGTCTGCATGTTGTCTCTTACTCCCAGTCGGCGGTCAGTTCCCACTGTAAGCAAAATTTTAGTCGTTAAATGGATGCTTTAAAAAACCCAGTGAACGTTGTAAAGCTTCAAAATTGTGGGGAAACCGCCTTTTCCTTATAAGGTATCCTTATTAAAAGATTAGCCAAAGAGCAAGAAGATTGAAAAATTCGTTGATCATTTTGTATGGATTCGCAAAAAACAGGTAAGCATAACATCATCAAAAATGCGGACCGGCCCGAGACCCGCTTCAAAGTGTGATATTTTTCCGGAAGAATGACTGCAGGATGTTCCGACCATTTGCTAAGTATCAGCTCATTCTGCCCGCCCTCCAATCTTCCTGATTACGGCCAAGTGGATTCGGGAAATTACTCCGAAGATCTTACAAATTTAACTTGATAAGAGCGACTGCGTAGGTCTCGCGTTATTTTTATTTGTTACGAAAAACAAAAGTGGACGGCCTGCAGATGACATCACCGTCCGAAATCTCTGTAAAATGGATATATGTAATGGACTGCGTTTGAAATTGCAGCGGACGATGACATGTGGCTAAAGTCCATCCCAAGTTCGGACTAACTCGATTATTGGTTCGTAGATCAGAGAAGCCGCGTTAAGACCCCATACAAAGTCGATATGGCTGACGTCGTGTAAAGTAGTTTTCGTCTGAAAAGAGTGTTATGGGTAAGGCATTTGCACCTTGACTGTTCCGGTGGGAAGCTTGGAAATGGTGTCGGCTACGTCCTCTGGATCGGCCAGCCAGTCTATGTCGCTGGAATAGATGTGTAGATTCAGATTTGGATCGATCTTTCCGAGGTCGTAGATGGGAGGGGTTATCTGCAAAGTGTCCTATTCAAGAAGATTGTTTGTAACGCTTTAAAAGTTGCCTGCAAATCCTGCTCGACATGGATTTGCAGGCCCATCAAAAAGGATTGTTAGATCCTTTATGTAAATCCAAAAATTTTCATAAATTAAAGCGACGACTATGTGCAGAAACTTCAGAATGCTTTCAAAGTCTCAAGACTGAATTTCTGACGATAAAAATCACACATTTCCAGCAAAGACTCATTCCCTCACTTGACCGTAATGTTTTTTATTTTCCCATCGGTTCCGGTAATCGTATTTGGCCATAACTCCCGTATGAGCTAATTGTGCCCAATGGAGCATGTTTCGAGTCGAAGATCCAGCTGGAGCATGGGACAAATAAACATCCAGCCGGCTCATATTTATGTTTCCAAATTCTGGACCAGTGACAAAGTAGATAAGGTCTGCACAATAATGTTGGATGAAATGAGATGAACAAATCGCTTCAATTGCCTTTTGCACGATCCAATTTTCTCTGAACTCAATGTCACGAAGAATCAACTTGACAACCTAAGAGATAGGTAAAACCAATAGATGGTCTTATTACCCGAAACTTACATCGATAACTGGCCACACAACCTTCTCGATTGCTCCAATAAGTCCTTTTATATTTTTAACGCTTCCAACTGGCGCTAACGCAAAAAATCTTTTGATTCTCGCTGCAAACTCCACATTTTCAGCTAGCTGAGCAAACATAATCAATGTTCCTTGACTATGGCCGAGGTAATAAATCTGTTTCTGCCCAGTAACCTCTGCAATTTTATCAAAAATTGCGCTTAAATCAAGATTGGCATGCTCTGACCAGCTGGATTATGAAAACTTGAGTAAGGTACCCGTATTTTAAACCACCTAAACTTCCAAAATTCATGTTGTTTTGCGCTGAGGGTAATATGCCTTCTACCGTATGTATTTCCACGAACATTTCCCAACCAAACATCGAAGCCGGCGTCAGCGAAGAGGAACCCTGGAACCTACGTAAAGAGTAATTAAGTTGTCCCACCCGCGGATTCATTTGGCAAATTATTTACGAAGCACGAACTGGCTTCGTAAAGACCGTGCATTAGCAAAATTACTGGACGATCCGGATCTGAATCAAAGGTTTTATCTGAAAAAAGATTCTCGCCTTCGCGAACCGTCTCTTTCACATCACTGCAATCATGAAATAAAAGATTGAAGACACCTTACTTTTACCATGAGGAATGCGATGAATATCGATTATGTATCCATCGCTCGTTGTGACGGTATGTGTTTCCGAAGGATAACCAAAGAAAGATATTATACCGGCCTGAAAAATGTATAAATACACGCACAAACCGAGTTTTCTAAAGTTGTTGAGACTTATAGTTAGCTTACCGTGTCGAGATTTTCTTCAGGATTCTGCCCGCCAAATCTCTTATCCGACAGAAAGGTCGGCAAGCCATAGACTCCAGAAAAGATGAGATAAAAATAAAACATTAAGCGCTTGTATGTATTGCCTTAAAAAATGTAACCAGTATTCCGAGCACTTCGACAGGACACTATCAAAAAGCTAACATATGGAAGGTTGACCCCATTCAAGTGATCACAATGTTTGAGATGTTAGTGTGACATTTCCGGAAAACAAAAGGATCCGTTTATTCAAAAGATAACGTGATCATAAATTTTCCATTCTTCTAAGGGAACTACGAGAAGTTTAACGCTTAGATTTTGTACAAACTTGTCGCAACGTTAGCAAAGATTTTCCAATGCATATTTGAGAGCCGCACTTACAGAGTTTGACAATTTTTTTAAATTGATAATCATGATTTTTTTATTCAATTAAAAAATGGAATAATCATCCATAATATCAAACTTGATCCAGCTTTTTGATGGTGTGAAGTATCGGATAATACACCAGTTTAGGAGCATTTAGACCCCATTGGAAATCGAGATGACTGAATTTGTCCAAGATTTTGTGACTCTGAAAATCGGGGTATAGTTTTAATTCTTTACCTTCAAGACTCCTTTCGGAAGTTTTGATATTGTATCCTTAACATCCGCAGGGTCTGCTAGAATATCCGTTTTGCTTGTGTAGAAATGAATCTTCAGATTTTGGTCAATATTATTGAGACTGTAGAGTGGTGGAGTCTCCTGTAACACAATCAAATAATAGTTTAATAGGATTTGTTGGCTGAACCAGGCAGCTCAGTCATCCAAATCACTTAAGTAGCACCTCTCTTACTGTTAAGCTACCTACTTGTTTATAATGTTCGACATTTTTTTCCTTATCGATGTAATCAAACTTGGCAAAGACTCCAGTGTACGCCAGCTGAGCCCAATGAAGAATATTCTGATTCGATGTGCCCGCCGGAGTATGAGAACTGTAGACATTGATTCGTGTTTCGTTAATATTACCCATTTCTGGTCCGGCTAATAGAAAGATGAAATTGCTGCATAAGTGAGTCATAGGCCCACGACAAACATGGCGGACTACCCAATCCATAATGTAACTCTTTGGGACAAATTCAGAGTCCCCGAACATGGCTCTAACCTTCTAAAACACGAGTAAGATCACAGAAGTTTTCAAATGCCTTACTTTATAAATAGGATACATTACATCGGCCATAAACCGGAGAAACCCTTTGGTATTGCGCATGCTTACTGCAGGACCTAGCGCAAAAAATCTTTTGATTCTGTTTGCAAATTCAGGGTGCTCAGCAAGTTGGGCAAACATCATAGTCGACCCTTGACTGTACCCCAAATAGTAAATTTGACTTTGATTTGTGACTTCTTCGATCTTATCAAAGATGGCTGGGAGATCATTGTGAGCGTGTTCAGACCAACTGGAATGTAAATAATACTAAATGGTCACAATACAATTCGGTCTACCTAAACCTCCAAAACTCCTTCTGCTTATCGTTCAGGATCACATGTTTTCTTCCATAGGTATTTCCTCGGATATTCCCAAGCCAGACATCAAATCCAGCGTCAGCAAAAATAAATCCTGATAATAAATGGGCCTTCAGGAAACTTTATGGCAATTCCTTACCTGCAGATTGATGTGGTAGATTTAGCACCCACGTAGCGCTACTAGAGACTAGTCCATGCATCAGTAAGATCGCTGGGCGGCAGCCATTGGCTGTTTGATCTATAACAGACTTTATATTAGCCCAGCAATCTAAACTAGTCCGATTCCAAACGTACTAAGTCCATGTGGAATCCTATGAATGTCGATAATGTATTTATCATTTGTTTGAATCGTGTGTACCTCCACCGGATATCCGTAGTATCTCACCAGTTCCTCCTTTATAATAAAAAATCAACGGTGGGGTTTATTTTACCGTACTCATTTGTTCCTCTGGATCAACTTTGAACTTTGTTTTACGATTACTCCGTTTAGAAGAACAGAAAATGACAAGCATTGTAAGGAAAATCAAAACAAAAAGCTGCATCATTCACATGTAGAAGAATTAATATTACACTAAAATTGAATAGCAAAAACGCATTAAAATTGAATTGCATTAGAATTTGAATTTAATTTTAAAGTTCGTCGAGACAAAAAGCCCTGATAATTTTGCGCCATGCGGTTTTTGCGCGGTTTCTTTCCCACTCTGAAAAAAACGACTTATCGCTGCGAAAAAGTGCAAAGCCGCACAGTGCAAAATTATCAGGACTTTTTGTCTCGACTAAACACGTATACATACCTATATATCTGAGGTTTTTTAAAATCTTAATGACATTTTACAAGAGCAGTTCTCAAGGTGCATCCATCCTGCTTATATTGTTGATTGGGAGTCGCGGTGGATTTGAATGGATGCCCAAATGCTGGAGTTGAATTAACCTATTTGATCCTATGATTCTCTTTGCAATTTCAGGATGCTCAGTAAGCAAGGCAAACATTATAGTCGAACCCTGGCTGTATTCCAAATAGCGAACTTGACTTTGATTTGTCGTTTATTCGATTTTGTCACAGATGGCTGACAGATCATTCTGAACGTGTTTGGACCAACTGAATAAAGAAATCAAAAAAAACAACACGTAATCCATGTAAGATTACAATCGAAAACTGCATCCTTCAAGGTTAAATTATATATGTCTCATTAAGAGACAGTCTCGACATCACAATTAAATTAAAGCTATCAATTTATTATTACTTACGTATTCAAATAAAAAACAGATTTCAACGTATGCGTAAAGCAAGGCATTTGGTTTCTTTATGTTGTGTAATCGCTTTTCAAGCTGGTTAAAAAATAAATTGTCCAGCTTTGTTGAAAGCCTTCGTCCCAGTGCTGAGAGTTGAAAGACCATTCGCAATTGTTGTTTTTTACTTTTTGAGTACGTGTATTGAAGGGTACGACGTAGCTCGGTTCAGGAACGAAGAATGACCCAACTTCCATACAGAAAGATGGCAGTTCCTGGCATATTTACAGCAGCTGGCTTTGGAGCTGATTGAAATAAACGGTCGCTTGATCCTGCCTCACAATGCTGGAACCTCTCAGCTCTTTCTGCTTCTTTGTCCAATGCACTCGGTTGATATAAACGGCCAACGAAATTGTAAGCGAAAAAACCAACATCTGAAAGCAATTGTATTCTTCTCCTTGTGAACCGTTTGCTTTTGTTATGACAATTGTCTGATTAAACTATTTTGTTCTGCTTACGTAAGTTGTATCAACAAACAACTAGATTGTAGGCAAACTCACATTATGTGACATCAGAATACAAGCAACGTATCGAATAGGGCCATCATTGTAGATAATGAATTCTCTGACGGAGATGTGAATCATAAGAAACAGAGTAAATAATATGGAGTGTAATAACGAAATTGGAGTTACTAATCGGACTGTTAAATAGTTTTCTCCCTGTTGATATGCCCGGCTTAGACTGTAATTTATAAATACTCTGAAAAGTTGTTTACTCGGATTCTTTGAAGGTAGTTTAATCACAAAAGTACAGACCATGTAATCTCTTACTTGTCTCGTCGATTCTTCAGTGTCAAGAACCATTCTCCCCCAGTAGCCGAGAGGTCAAAGATTAGCAAACACAACAGTAGAATCCGTACTCTAAGTTCGTTAAGGTCGCTTACAACCCCAAGGCAATAGGAATTGTATCCAAAATACTCTGACCATTCAACACTATAAGTAGCCACGTTTACTCCAATGGTAATTAACCACTGAAAAGACAGGCTCCCGTAAACCAAATTTTTAAACTTACCACGAAAAGACAAAGCCATATTCCCAGGGAATTGCCACACTGTTCGTAAACATGCGTGAAACGCGTGGCGATTAAGCGTTCAATGAACAGTGAACAGTGCAACAAAGAAATGGTCACCATCATCCAGTAGCCGGGCCAACGCATCAGCGAGCACATGCCATAAGTTATGATTACATCACAACTATCAGGGCGGAAGAAATGGTAATAAAAGCTGCGGAGATTGGAGATAGTGTGAGAGATTACAAATACTGTTATTGCAATGTAAGTGTTACCGAGGATGATCTGGAATATTGAGTGCATGTAATTTCTCCGTGTGCGACGTTTAGATTTTGAGGTAACTTTATATCAAAAATTTTTTTCAAAAACAGCAGAGATACAGTGAGGGACCTGATCCAGTGGCAAAAAACGTACCATTTCGCATCCGGGAATCAAAAATGTGGCAAAATGCTTCCCCAAGCGAAAAAACTTCGGTTTGAAGGGCGCGCCTTTTCCCTCACAAAAAAAAGCGGGCGCGCTTTTGAAATGTGTCAAAAGTGAAAAAAGAAATTTTAAATATTTATCAGTTTTGAACTAGCCACAAATCATCCCATTCTACCCAACGCTTTCCAGCGGCTGTCTAAAAGCCTTCTTGGCGAGAAATCAGAAGGCACGCAAAGTGAGGAGAGGGGGCCAGAAAAAAGTGGTTTGTCAACATCACTTCAGTCTTCATAGACTTTGCACTTTTAAGTACAAACTTTATAAAGTACTTATGTTTGATGAAATAAATATTTTTTAAGTGGCTATCTTGCTTGCGTAAGCAGGTTTACTTATATATGTAGGGGAACACCTATAAATCTAATTCATTTAGCATCAATACTGGATGGCTCAACTGAAAACCGATCCCTCGAAGAGAGCTACTCAAAGAAGAACCAAAATTGACAGTTTCCCTTAGGACATTCGATCTTTAATGGGGTACATCTTTACAAAAATTAATCCAAAAAATGTGGGTAATAATTTTTTTACCTTGTGCAAATTTTTATTTCATTGTCAGATAGATGTAGAAAATGCTAGAAAGATTTGGAAGTGGTCTACAAATATTCCCTTGATTGTAAGCCCTTGTCAACGTGCCCTAATTACCGATATTTTAAACATGTCTTACCAACCTGAAAATTTGCATGAACCAGCGGCTTGACTCGAAATACCACAATATAAACCAGCATAACAATTGCTGGAAGCGAGCACAAAGCCGTAAATCCTTCAAGCAAAACAAATTGAGTGTTCTGCCTAAAGATGCTGGCCACATTGCACAGTACATCTACATCTACTCGCATAATAAACGTTTACAATGAGCAAACAAGAGAAGCGCAAGATGTATGAAATATTTAATGATAGCTTTCTTGATGTAGGGATGAATGCTCACCACTAAATATCATATTCGCGTAAACGGCCAAGATGGTTTAAACGAATACATTCGTATGACTCAAGTGCAGATACAATTTACCATCCAATTTTTTTGCTGAAAATGCGTCTTGGCAAGCATAGAGTTATATTTAGTTGTCGCTGTTGCAATGCGGGAAGTCAAAGCAGGTCCAACAGCTTCAAAAACAGACCCCGAATCTTACCCGCAACACAAAGTCCCCCACCATTTTGTGCATGTCTTGAGTGTGAGTGAGATTCGCAAAACTGCATGTCGCTAGTGCCAAACCCGGGAATGATTTGAGGCTCCAAATCAAACAGTGAAGATTTCGATCATTGGCTGTTTCATCGACAATGCAGGCGTGAGAATGCAAGAACAAATGCTAGCCTGTAAAAAGATTCGTCGAAACGTCTCACGCACCTTGCGTCTCAAAATTAACAAAAGTCGACAGTGAAGTTAGTCTCCAAAAACGTTAAGACGTCAAATGCCTATAAGGCATGATTCAAAGACAGAAACGATCCATGTTCAATCTCTAAAAAAGCTTGAAGATATCGATGGTATTTATACAAAAGTCAAGGCAAAAATAACTGCAATATTAAATGACTAGAAGTATGCAGCCCAATTAAATTGAGCCATGTTAAGGGAATTAACGCCGCGCTTCAACTTGAAGAATCCTTGGTCGCCCCATCCGGGTCCCCACGAGTTCTTGAAGATCCAGTACTTGGTACCATTTTCTTCTCCATACCCAACGATGACGACGCCATGGTTGATGCCCCAACCGCCTGAGGGTTCGGCGACGTCGAGGATCCCACTCTTGTAATCTTGAATACCGCCGGCATCAATATCTAGAAAAAATATGCAAATAATACACATCACGCTTACAGGTTGCAATTGGTCCAACTTCATATACAACCTTGGCCAAGTTGTCTTCATCGTTCGAAGGTAAGAACTCTTCTTTTGTGACCTTGGTGGCATAAGGCTTTCCACTTGGGCAAGCGGGGACTGTGTGGTCGCCATCCCCGGAAGTAAATTTGAAATTGTCAGCGAGAGTAATTCCATTCTCGATGACGTAGTCTAAAACTCCAGGAGCAGTACCTCCATTACAACCATGGTTATGGTACTTTGAGACGTTGTTAGTACAAGCAATAACCTGTTCTTCACTCAGATGGAGAGTTTGTCCAGTATGAATGAGATGTTGACTTTCAATAACACCAACGGCACTAAATGCATAGCAACATGCACAACCACCTTGGTTCTGCACAGCGGTAACTCCGTTGTTTTCTCGCCAATCGAAGTTGGAAGGAATCTGGGTAGTGTCTCTCTTTGAACGGAGCAACTTAGAGCTGTTGATATTGCCATGGAGTTGCTTGAGGTGCTCAACTCCCTTGATTCCCGTGTGTTTGGCGATGAATTCTTCTGGAGTGAGATCTGAGAATTGGTTGACGCCAAATTTGGCCTTAGGGCTCTCCTTCTGTCTCTCCTCAATTCTTTTCAGAGTAGATTGGAATTTTTTGAAGCTCTCAGAGACGTGGGTGTCATTGTGGTACTCCTTTTCGAACCTGCAAGAAGTAAGCTCATACGAATGGTGTACTTACTTGGCGATGAATCCAAAAAACTTGTTGAAGTTCTTGCTGTCATCGGGCTTCAGCTTTTGACGGAATTCGGTAGAGAGCTTCAGGGATTTCTTTGTCTTCTCGCTGAGTCCCTTCAAGTTATCGATGAATTCGTGGGTCTTGTTGTCCTTGAAGAGTTCCTCGAACTTGTCAAAGGCTTCTTTGTCGAAAATATCATCCAAACCTTTCTTCTCAAACTCGGTCTTCACAAGTTCACTGAGCTGCGTTTTTCCGAGCTTGTCCAGCAACGAAGAGGATACTGTAGTCAAGAAAGTGACCAAAATAAAACAAGAAAGAGACCGCATCCTGATATCGGGGATATGCAGGATCGTTGATGTGATAAATTTAAATTTGAATTGGCTTTTTATAGGTCCTCGGAGCGATGGAAATATTTACAGTTCCAAGAAATAGGCGTTGCAAAATACAGGGTGCGGCAAAAAAATGGAAACTTATTTTTATAGCTACAGTGTGCGGCAAAAAAATGGAAAATTTTTTATAGCTCTATTTTTCCTCGCAATCCAAATTCCGCAACAGTAACGGTCACCAGCAATAACATAGAGCATTGTTTATAACATATTCAACCCGTTTCACAGTGGCTTCTTTTGGTGGCAATATAGAGCTCTAAAAGTGACTTAAAATTTTGGGCCTTTGGCCGCAGCTTTTTTCGAGGAAATCGGTTCCGTTCTTGGCGCAGCGATTACTTTGCGACTCCAAACTTCTATGGGGTGTAGTACAGATGCTGGCTCCGAATTGATAAAAAATAATAGTCCATCGGATTCATATCCAGAGAGCAGGCGCACATTTCGCAGACAGGGTGGAATCGGTCCCATTACTGTTCTTGACTCGCTTTTGCCATGTGAACCGGCGCTGAGTCTAGTTGGAACGCCAAATTTGAGTTGCCAATGTTCCTCTGAGCCAACAGAACCATGAGGAACTTGAGGTTAACGCGGCGTTAGAATTTTGCCTTCTTGATCCACAAAAATCTCGGAATTCTTGCCGCTGGCACAAATTCTGCATCGTGCGATGACGGCCCGGATTTTGACGGTGTTCGTCTTTAGCCGACGTGCAGAGGCCAAAACATTGCACCGCGAAGGGAATGAGCTCCTATCGCGGACCTGCGGCCCGACGTCTGAATTTTCGGCATTTTTCAGGCGTACGGGCTTGATCTTGCCGATGAGGAGTTGGGCATTTTAGACTTTGTATGTGGAGACCTTGGGTTGATTTTTAGCTACTTGGCCGAGTGGTCGGTCGCTGGCACCGGTCTCGCGGGCATTTTTTTCTGGAAATCGACGGATTTCGTTGTTGATGACCTCGCGGCTGGCAGAAGTGACGGCGGTGCGTTTTCTTAAGCTGAATGGACGCTAAAACTTGTCAACAGGCTCCTTGCATTGTGTGACTACTTTGGACACAACGTCGTTTCAATACCGGGCAAATTAACAATTCGATCAGTTTAAAAAACGGGTCCAAAATCAAGGTCCCTTGGTTTGGCATCAAAAAAAAAGAATGTTAATAAACCGATATTGACATGAAATCATAAGGTCTAGGAGAGAAAACTACGTAGAATTTAATGGTATGAAAATAATTTTGCTGGACTTAAAAATTTTCGCCTCGGGACCCAATGAAAAAAGTTTGTATTTTTTTATCGCACCCTGTAAAAGAAAATTCTCCGAATGAACGCAGGATCTGTTCAAATATGAGAGGAGGGCGATGAACCCCCAAGCCGAAGCGAACGTTATCCTGAACCGGAAATTCTCTGTTCAAATAAAATGGCTACCGAGAATTCGCTTGAAATATTTTGGGCTGTAACATGGGCCGCGGTTTCTAATTCGAATATTTACGGAGATTTTGAATTTGCGAATTGATTATACCAGGAAAGGTCTCCTGTGCATAAACAAACAGGAAGAAAGGAGACTATATAAAGGAAGAATATCCGTTTGGCAAGTATCGTTCCACAGCGTCTTCAACCAGCATGAAGATCATTGTCTTGGCCTTGTGTTGTGCTCTTACTGCAGCCATTACCCAGCGCAGGTTAACGGCCACGGAACAGCAGCAGGTAATCGATAAGTTGAACGAGGTTCGAAGAAGGGTGTCCAACGGGGAAACCGTTGGCAAGAATGGGACCAAACTGCCACCTGCAACTGATATTCAACAACTTGTAAGTGCCATTGATTGTGTGTATAACGGTCATATATAGAACCACAATTCTACATTCGAAGATCAAGCTTACACCTGGGTAACGGGTTGTAATTATGATTTGCAACCCAACTCAAACCAATTGATCAGCGCGTTCGGCTCACTGACATCTGATTACGTTGGCACTCTCAAGCAAGCCATTGAGCAATGGTATAACGCCAGTCAGAGATATGCCGGAGATGTCAGAAACTTCCAAGCCTCCGATGCCTCTGACTTTTCAACTGTAGGTGAAGGTAACTTGATCATGAGTCTTTTAGCTCGCCTGGAACTATCTTAACCTCACGGGATGTGCTGTGGGTTTATGCTCGCAACTGAAAAACGGCAACAATTACTTTAATAACTTTACCTTTGTCGCCTGTAATTTCAACTCCGGTTCAAACTGGATCGGAAAACCAATCTACAACCCTGGAACGCCTTGCGACCCCTGTCCATATGGCTACCGTTGCAACAACTCTCTTTGCTACTTCGACTCGCAACTCCCACCTAGAACTCCTGGATGGCTGACAATTGGAGAAAGACAAACTGTTTTGGACACTCTGAACGGCCATAGAAGAGATCTGGCAAAGGGAAACGTGACTGGTGCAAATGGAAAGACATTCCCGACGGGAAGCAACATTTTAGAAGTCGAATACGACATCGGGCTTCAAAGCATCGCCGTCAACAACTTCACAAAGTGCACCAGTGGCTTCGCTGATTTGGCCAACTACAATGTGCTCAGCATCATGTTGAGGGGCGTTGAGACACCAGATGGCGTAAGTCTAGCGCTAATCATTTACTTAGAAACCTTGATGACGCAGTAATTGCTCCCTTTTCAGCAAGAATACAATTTCGCATTAAAAACCGCGATCAACAGTTGGTGGTATCCCGCAGGTTATAACAACTCCATCAGCAACTACCAAGGGTCCAGCAGCAACTTTGCCAAACTTGGTTGGGCCAAGGCTTCAAGAATCGGATGCAATCGCGAGATCTGTTTATTCCAACAACAAAACGTCACAGTAAGCAAGATTGTGTGTGTATTGGGAGAGGAGAAGGGCGCCGTTATTGGCCAACCTATATACTCCAGTGGATCCACCTGCTCCGCCTGTCCAAGTGGCTACAGCTGTAGCAACTCTCTCTGTGTGAAATCCGTCAGTCAGTGCAGCATCAGCGGCTAACCCTACACACTTACATCCTATAGAGTCAATCGATGGTATTTATATCTAATTTGTAATATAGTCGCAGCAATAAATCGTACATGCAAGAAATCCTTAACTTTCGCAAAATCGCCCATTGATCAGAAAGAGTTGAAGAAAAAAATTCAAAATTTATTTTAAGAGCAATTGGTAATAGAAATGGGGGCATAACAACTTGTCGGGAAAATAATGTGGATTGGTCGGAGCAAAATGTTTCGTTGCAGTCGCACACCAAATCGCCAACCGCGTCAAGTCGTCGCAAAGCAAAGACGGGCGTTTCCAAGGTGCGACGATTTCACAATATTTTCCAGGCAAACGATACCATAAGAAAACGTTTACGGTGCTCATAGATGAGACATACTAATCGGACGGGCCACTCAATCCATTTACCAATTGCTTCTCTCCACTCGCCCATCCATAGCTAAATATATGGGGATATCTTGCTGTAATCGAGATCTTAAAGGTCGGATTCAGCACTCTAAGAAATAATAGAGTGTCATTTACAACTTTTTGTATGTTCGAGCCAATTGACAGAGCGTTTGCACTTTCATTGGTGATACGGACATTGGCTGCTATTCTTATGAAGTCATCCAGTTTATCAAGCATTTAGCGTCTTGCTGTCTTTCGGAATCCGTCGTTGCATAATATCCACGGCAAGAGCACACATGCACAAAGCAAAGACGATGATTTTCATACAGGTAGAAGACACAATGAAGCTATATCCCCGAAAATTACCAGCTTTTTATACTCGCTCCTCCTACCCTTTTGATTTGCGTTTGCCCCGAAGCGAATTCCCTATTGTGTTCAGTCGAGTTCATAAACAACGTTCTTTCTCGGAATCAAGGAATCAGGAGTTCGATTCCGTCCAATGCAATATATTAAAATTCTTGATAGCGATCACGCTTAAACAGTTACGTGCGGATCACGCCTCTTTTCTCTGTTCTCGGCCGCCTCCTCGTATCTCATATTTGGACAGATTATACGTTCGTTTCACAGAATGTTTTTTAAATTGCAAAGCTCATTTCCAGGACTTTTGTGTTCAATGGGAGTATAAAAGACAAGTGTGTAACCTTTACTACCACATATTCAGTTCTGCATATCGATCAGAAATGCGTTCCCTCTCTTGTTTGGCCATGGTCATGTTGATGACTACAGTATCCTCTTCGTTGCTGGACAAGCTCGGAAAAACGCAGCTCAGTGAACTGGTGAAGACCGAGTTTGAGAAGAAAGATTTAGATGATATCTTCGACAAAGAAGCCTTTGACAAGTTCGAGGAACTCTTCAAGGACAACAAGACCCACGAATTCATCGATAACTTGAAGGGACTCAGTGAGAAGACAAAGAAATCCCTGAAGCTCTCTATCGAATTCCGTCAAAAGCTGAAGCCCGGTGATAGCAAGGACTTCAACAAGTTCTTTGGATTCATCGCCAAGTAAGTATACCATTCGTATGAGCTTACTTCTTGCAGGTTCGAAAAGGAGTACCACAATGACACCCACGTCTCTGAGAGTTTCAAGAAATTCCAATCTACTCTGAAAAGAATTGAGGAGAGACAGAAGGAGAGCCCTAAGGCCAAATTTGGCGTCAACCAATTCTCAGACCTCACTCCAGAAGAATTCATCGCCAAACACACGGGAATCAAGGGAGTTGAGCACCTCAAGCAACTCCATGGCAATATCAACAGCTCTAAGTTGCTCCGTTCAAAGAGAGACACTACCCAGATTCCTTGCAACTTCGATTGGCGAGAAAACAATGGCGTTACCCCTGTGCAGAACCAAGGTGGCTGTGGATGTTGCTATGCATTTACTGCTGTTGGTGTTGTTGAAAGTCAACATCTCATTCATACTGGACAAACTCTCCATCTGAGTGAAGAACAGGTTGTTGCTTGTACTAACAATACCAAGTATAACAACAAAGGCTGCAATGGCGGTACGACTCCTGGGGTTTTAGACTATGTCATCGACAATGGAATTACTCTCGCTGACAATTTCAAATTTACTTCCGGGGATGGAGACCACACAGTCCCCGCTTGCCCAAGTGGAAAGCCTTATGCCACCAAGATCACAAAACAAGAGTTCTTACCTTCGAACGATGAGGACAACTTGGCCAAGGTTGTATATGAAGTTGGGCCAATTGCAACCTGTAAGCGTGAAGTTTATTATTCGCATATTCTTTCTAGATATTGATGCCGGTGGTATTCAAGATTACAAGAGTGGGATCCTCGACGTCGCCGAACCCTCAGGCGGTTGGGGCATCAACCATGGCGTCGTCATCGTTGGGTATGGAGAAGAAAATGGTACCAAGTACTGGATCTTCAAGAACTCGTGGGGACCCGGATGGGGCGACCAGGGATTCTTCAAGGTCAAGCGCGGCGTTAACTCTCTTGACATGGCCCAATACAGTTGGGCTGCGTACTTCTAACTGTTTACCGTTGTGGTTAATTTTGCCGTTTTTATAAATACCGTCGATGTAAAGCTCTTTTAGAAATTGGTTTTGGAACTTTTGTTCATATACAGGGTGGCCAGAAAAAACGGAAACTTTTTTTCATAGGTCCTGGCGCGAAAATGTTTAGGTGTAGCCAAATCATTCTTTTACCATTAAATTCTCCGTGTTCTTCTGCCCTAGTACCTCGATTTTCATGGCCATATCGATTATTTAACATGGTTTTTTTGTATGTCAAACAGAGGAACCTCGGTTTTGGACATTTTTTTGGAGCTGTTTGAATTGTTAATTTGATCGGTATGTAAAGGACCTTGTGTCGAATGTAATCACTCAATGCAAGCGGCTTGACAACGACAGTGAACGTCAGGAAAGTGTAAAAAAACGCACCGACAGCACTTCTGCCAGTCGCAAGATCATCAACAGCAAAATTCGCGATTTTCCAAAATAATCGCTCGTAAAAACGGCATCAGCGGTCGATCCATCTACCAAATATCCAAAGATAAGCTCAAACCCACCCCATACAAGCTGCAAAAATTCCAGCTCTTCAAGGCTTACAACAAGCGCGTACGGCGCAGAGATGTTGGAAAACTCAAAGGTCGCGCCGCTGCTCTTGGATGAGAGAAATGGACGAGAAATAACGCAACGTTGCAACGCGCTGGGCAAGCTCACAACCACAAGGATGATATCATTTGGACTGTTAGGTGCCAAGGAGCGTTCGCTTTTTTCTAATACCGTCAAAACCCAATCCGTAATAGCCTGGGGCAAAATTTTGCGCCAGCGGGAAGATATCCCTGGTTTTTGCAGATAAACCGGTCAAAATCAACCAAAAACTCTACTAGTAAAATATTCTGGAAGTTGTCGTGCTTCGTGAGCTCAGTAGCATTTTGTCGATGCAAATTTAACGTTCTAGCGAGAGTCAGCTCCGTTTCACGACGCAAAAAAGGCTCGGAACCAAGAATGGGACCGATTTTCCCGACTTTGTCCCTTCGGCCAAATGACCGCTTACTCGCTAGATTTGAATCCAATGGGCCTGTACTTTTTTTCCATGGAAGGTCAGCATCTGTACTATGAGACACGAAAGTTTGGAGCCGCTATGTAATCGCAACGCCAAGAACGGGGCCGATTTCCTAAAAAAAAGCTGCGGCGTTTTGCCAAAAATTTTATGTCACGTTTTGAGCTCTGTATCGGCGCAACGTGCAGCGGCTTAAAAGCTGACTGAACATGTTGTTAACAGTACTCCATGTTACTGATATTGATTATTATTTTTGCCGAATTTGTTTTGTTAAAAAAAATATTGCTACAAATACAAGTACTTTTTCTGGCCACCCTGTATTATAGGGCTTGATGATTAGTACTTTTTTTACAGGGTGTTTCACGAAATATGACAGAAACTTTTTGCGAATATCTTTGAGTTCGTGGGAGTTATTGCAAAAGTCCTTCTTGTATCTAAAAATTGAAGTTTGGCGGCTTTGTAGTGAGCACAAATTTTTTCTTTCGTCGGCGGAGACGTTTGGGGCCTTTTTTAAAAATTTCATCGTATTACATGGTGGAGACTCTGCCACAACGGCCAAAATTAGGTTTGCGTTACACCTCCGTGGATTTTGCTGTGTGCTCTTTCGCTTTTTTGATTTTACGCACGCGGAGGCGCGGCGGAGACCTCGGAAGGCGAAACTTGCAGTTTTGAAATTTCATTCTGTGATGTTCGAAGTGAATTTGAGATGTCGGAGTGAATCGACGACACCTACACCGTTCGAAACACCACAGAATGAAATTTCAAAACTGCAAGTTTCGCCTTTTTTGGAGCCAAATTACGCCCGTACTAGGTCGAACACTCTGATATTACACTAGGCACCAATAAAAAATAAAGTGAATTAGAGATGTCGGAGTGAATCGACGGCACCTATACCGTTCGAAACATCACCGAATGACATTTCAAAACTGCAAGTTTCGCCTTTTTTGGAGCCAAATTACGCCCGTACTAGGCCGAACACTCTGATATTACACTAGGCACCAATAAAAAATAAAGTGAATTAGAGAAGTCGGAGTGAATCGACGACACCTACACCGTTCGAAACACTACCGAATGAAATTTCAAAACAGCAAGTTTCGCCGTTTTTGGAGCCAAATTACGCCCGTACTAGGCCGAACACTCTGATATTACACTAGGCACCAATAAAAAATAAAGTGAATTAGAGAAGTCGGAGTGAATCGACGACACCTACACCGTTCGAAACACTACCGAATGAAATTTCAAAACAGCAAGTTTCGCCGTTTTTGGAGCCAAATTACGCCCGTACTAGGCCGAACACTCTGATATTACACTAGGCACCAATAAAAAATAAAGTGAATTAGAGATGACGGAGTGAATCGACGGCACCTATACCGTTCGAAACATCGCACAATGAAATTTCAAAACTGCAAGTTTCGCCTTTTTTGGAGCCAGATTACGCCCGTACTAGGCCGAACACTTTGATATTACACTAGGCACCAATAAAAAATTAAGTGAATTAAAGATGACGGAGTGAATCGACGACACCTAT